GCTTAGTATAATTGTTTCCAAATTATTTGAGCATGTTTAATCCATTCTTCAATATGTAATGGATCAGATGAATTGAGTTGTTGTAAGTTGCAACTAACTTTATAGTTTATGTCATTAATAAAAGAATTAATGATATCTTTTTTAGAATTATTATTACTTGCTTTTTTTGCAAGTTTAATTAGATGTCCAAGCTTTTTTAAAGCAAAAAAGAGTAATGTACAATGTGGAGTATATCAATGATTGTAGCTGCGTTTCCAACTAATTTTGTTAGGAATAATACGAATAGCTGCATTAGTGATAGAGTGTTCAATCTTATACCAAATTGTTTCCAAGGTTTCTTGAGTGTGAGTATCAAGAGGGACTCGATGATTACTGAGTAATGAAGTTAAAAGGTCTGAAAATTCATTCCATTTGTCTTCATTCATTTATTTATAATTGAAAATTCTTCGACTAATACCCATTCGTTGTCGAGGTGGCTTACTGTATGCATTAGGAAATGTCCAAGAAAATGAGAGAATTAAATGATCACTTGAGGTGCTTGTATTGCTGTTGTCCAGATTGTATGATAGGAGAAACTGTATATTAAATTGGTCAGTCCAAATATAATCTATACGACTACTACTTGTGTTATTAGACCAAGTATAGTGTGTATTATTAAAGTGTGCGCCTATGTCATAAAGATTAGAATAGTGTAAGAAATTAATTAGTTTAAATTTTGATGATGAACTGTGAACACTATCTTGAGTATTAAAATCTCCAAGAATAATAGAATGAAGATTTTGTTGAAAGGCTGATTGGATCCATTTAATTACTATATCTTGTGTATTATTCCTTTTAGTTGAATCAGTAGATGATAGATATACTGATATTATACAGAGTTTAATGTTGCTTTTAAAGAATAAGTCAAGAGCTTGAGCTCCTTCAGGATGAGTAAGACAGTTATGCACATGAGGTTTAAGATAGTTGTGAATCATAATACCAGTTCCTTCAGCTGAGTTATCTGAATTTGCCCAGTAGTATGTGAATAAATCATTATTGCAAAAATATAAATTGGTTTTGTTTGATATTTTGGTTTCAGTTATACTAGCAAGGGAAATATTATGGTTTAGGCAATAGTTTTGCCATGCTTCCCTTTTTGTAATAGTGTTAAAGCCTCTAACATTGTGTGTTGCAATTGTCAAATGCAAATCACGATTTTGATTAAAATATTGACTAGGAGATGTATATGAAGTAGATGGAAAGATAGGTATATTTGATTGTGATTTAAGAGGAATATCATGTGAATCATTGGCAGATAGAATATAGTGGTTTGGTAGTATATTATGTTCATGTGGTAGATATACATGTGCTTCACTTTTATTATAATAAAAGTAAGATCTGCTAAATAGTCAACATTGTTTTGTCGTAAATGTTGTAAGAAAGAATTAACAGTTTGTGATTCTCTTAATAGAGGAAGATGATAATAGGTAAGAAATTTGTTAAAACATATATCCAAATCATAGGAGCTTGATGATATTGGTAATGATTTAGAAAGGTGTTTTTCTGTAGTTGCGCTCACCGTTTTAAGCCCAGTTTTCACGGCCGCGAAGAGTGCCATAGCCTGCTCTGTACATTGAGTCTGACCGTCATTATCTTGGTTCTCCGCGTAAATGGACTTGCCCACCTGTCCACTTACATCATTCTCTTCTAAAAATGGCCCACAGGATGTAGAGAATATAATTACTTTAGAAGCGGTGGCTGCATTAATGTGGTCTACAGAAGGAGTTATTGAAAAGGATTGTATGAAAGTGTAGCAATCCATGAGTTGTTTACACTTGTTGGTTGGTTGCTGTTATTATTTTTAGATATTTTCTCTTGGTTTGGTTCTGTTAAAGGTGTGTTGGTATTTTGGTTAGAGTTTTCTGCAATTTGGCTTGAAGATTCATTAGCGTCTGTCATGACAGTATCTTCATTGTCAGTTTTCTCTAATAGATTTGGGTTTGTAGTGTCTGCTGTTGTGTTAGAATTGTTTTCTTGTTGAGGTAAAGGTTTGGTAATACTGGGAATTGGTTTGGGGTTAAAGAAAATAGATGATGATATTTTGGGTTTTTTGAATTTTATACCGAATTTTTTCTGGATAATTTCTTCAGCTTGGGGGTAAAAGGTTGTCTTATACATGTTTTTGATATCGGTAATAGTATTTTTCTCATCTTTATACTTGAGTGAGTAAAAATATACAAGAACTCTAGCTAAAAAGTCAGTTTGAATTGGTTTGGATGTAATTTTGTCTATAGCGACTTGAGGATAGAAATCATCAATTCCATCATTAGTAGCAGCAGCTTTTTGATGTTCTTTAAAATAGCAATAGAACAGATAGTTTCTTCTTGAGTAATCTTTTTCTTCTATGTTATTAAGTTTCATACATTCTTCTTCTGCTTGGTCAGCTAAGCTACGTAGCAGAGATATAGGAGTAGGAACTTTGAATGAGGCAGGATAGTCATTGCCTTTTTGAAATATTGAATAGTCTAATTGAGGTAGGAGCTGTTTAGGTTTAGAGACGAAAGTAGAGTTTTTAACCGGAGCTGGATGATGGGTAAAGGATTGATTGAAATATAGTATATAAATATTTTTAACATTATGTTCGGAGTCAATTGGTAAAGTAGTACAGTTTTCGATTTTGCATGTATAAATATGAAATAATGCTGCTTTAAGGCATAGATGTTTGCATTCGTTAAGTGAGTCAATAGAGTTTATAGTGAATTCTTTTGGAAGAAGAGATTTGCAGGTGTGTGATAGTTTAATTGCGATTTGGTGTTTGATGTAATTATAAGTTTTTGTTTTGTCAATCTTAATAAATTGACGCTTATAGATTTCAAAGAATTTATCAAACCAGGCATCATACTTGGAGAGATAGCTTTTAATTGAAGGAATCTTAAAGTCATATAAAAACTGATCTTTGGGAATATTGAATAGAATATTAATGTTGAACTTATTGTTATTTTGTATTTTGAAAAGTGGTTGGTTAATGTTGTTCTCACTAATAGAGAAGTAAAGTTTGAAGTGAATTGGACGTATATTGAGTTTTTCATAAAATTTTTTAGTATTAATAGTTTTATATTTGTCGTGAAGAATGAGGTGGAGGTAGGATTCAGGGCATGGGTAAAGAAACAAGGCATGCCTTTATGGGCATGCCTTGAGTTAAGGCATGCCCTATATGCCTATAGGCATGCCCCTATTTATTATAAACAAAAAAATTTATAATAGCGATAGTAAAAATTAAATTACAATTAATATTTCTAATATTGCTTATGCGATGTATTTAGTTGTTTTTAAACTTTATTGTATTGCTAGCTAAGGGTGTTCTTAAGCTCACTCAATGAATTGATAGTAAATTTTTAATTAGTCAAAAATTAAATAAATTAATCAAGTGAATTACAATTTCAATAACAAATCAGCAAGACATAAATCACCTTTTTTGTTCAAAAATTTACTATTGATAAAGGTTACTCAAGCATTACTTTATATTTTTTACATATCAAATATAATAACCAATTAATTTTCAATAAATTTTAATTGGTTTAAAAAGATAACCGCTTTATTTTTGGGGAAATTACACAAATTTGAAAATAATTACAAATAAGGGCCCAAAATAAAAATAATTACAGATAGAGGTCCGATATCTGAAAATTATTACGAATAAGGGCCCAAAATAATTTTACGCTTACAAACCTATGATTGATAACTCGAATATGACATTAATATAGTTACCAATCATTAAGCGCATAAGAAATGTAATAATAATCAATTAGTAACTCAAATATAAATTCAAATGCACAATAAAAATGTACTTCTGGTTTGTTCAATTCGTTAACCCATTATCTACGCTGCATTCCAAAATTGTTTTTTATCCTCAAAGTTCTTGACATATATTTTAAAAATCTGCTTATCATATAGGATACATTAAAGATCAGCATGACTTTTACTAATATGGAAAATGTTCGCTCAGCTCTAGACAGCTACTTTGTTAAATTTACTTCGCTATATAAGTTTAGAACTAACAGACCAAATAAGCTGCTTGTTGTTTGTCCCATGAATGAAAATAGTTCATGGCCATTTACTATTTCGGCTACAAGCAAAAAGATGTTTACATCATAAATAGTAAGGCTAATTCCTCACGATTCAACTTGTCCAACATCTGTGAAGCATTCAAAGCATGTGGATCATACCCAAAGAGCTGTTATAATTGCTTATAATATGACCTCTTTCTCATCCTAATACCAATTGTTTGATTTGTATATTACACTTGATGGTTGACTAAAACTCTCATAACTGCCGTCTTCACTTGCTACTACTGGTCTACCCTTTACATTCCACAAAAGAATTTAACATGTAAGCTTAGATAGTTTACTCTTTCATTAATGGTGGTCTAACATCTAGTTTTATAAAGTATAAATAGCTTTTTTAGAATCAAGTTTTGACCAATTTCATATAATTTATTTTTCTTTTCTATAGTATAGTAGCATATACTTTCAATTTTGATTACGATCATGTCACGAGATTATGTTAAGTAATTTATCACTCTTATTATCAAGAGGAGTAATAAGTTGCAATTTTATAAAAGACTAGAATCCAAAATTAATAATCTTTACTATTTCTGAATTCTTATAAGTTAATACGTTTACTTGCATTACGAATGTGCATACCAAATAACAGGTAACTTTACTAAATTGTACGTATATATGTATGAATGTATGTACGTACGTACATACGTAAGTATGATATCAATATATTGTCCACTTCAACTGAATTAGACGAATGATCAGCTTTGTACATATTTTTTGCAACTAAAAAAATTACTAAACATGGAAAAAAAAAGTTAAAAATAAAAATAATGAAAAGCTAAAGCAAAAGGTTCGGAGCTTCACTCCAGAGCAGCTTAAGAAAATAGAATCTAAAAATAAAAGATAATAATACAGATAAAAAAAAAAAGGCCACATTTCAAAAAAAGCCTTATAATAAGGTTAGATTTGAAAAATAATATCTTCAATAGACCATTCCTCTTCACTGTCATCAATTTGCAGCTCTTGATTATGAATTTCCTCACTAGGCGGAAATGCATACTGATCAAATTTGAAGAATTTATTCATAATAGATGATTCTTCATATTCCATATCAATCACACCAATGTTCTCATCTATTTCATTATGTTCTCTTTCTTCTATCTCTTCAAAAGACGTATCGATATTTTCCTCAACAGATTTATGTGATAAAGAATCCTGTCTGTCATTCTCATTATTTTCTCTCTCAAAGACAAGTCATTGAAGCCCATTTTTAAGCTGCCCAAGGTGGGAAAGAGTATCAGGAGAAAGGTGATTTCTCGTTTTTGTTTTCGTAAAACCTAAAGAAGAAAAGAGGCGTTCGCATGCAGCTCTATGAGGAACAATCGTGAAAATTTTCATAGCAAACTGACAAAGAATGGGAACATTTCCTTTGAACTCCGCCCAAAATAATCGAAAAGGTTTTTGAAAATGATTAGGTGTAAGGTTACTAAAGGGAGGATCGTTGTTTTTATAGCTAATTAATTCTTTGTAAAAAATAGCAATATCCTTTTTCTTAAAGTTCCAAACTTTATACAATTCTAAACACCCATGAAAAAGATAATCTTCATCCATATACCCTGAAATAGCGATGCTTTTATATGTTAAAGTGAGGAATAAAGCAATAAAATAGATATCATCTAAAAATTCACTGGCCCATTTGCTAATGACCGCAAGTATATGAGCTTTAAAGCCAGATATAGGAACTTTGAGCTTTGATATTTCTAAGTGAATATAGATCAACTCCTTAAAAATATCAGCTAAAGTTGATTCCCTTGATTTAAGCCTACCGATGGCATCAACGATAGGCTTAATTACCTTTATTAATACGTCATTATTGGCAAAGTGATATCTATCATTAATAATATCTTTTATATCATCTTTTATTGCTGGATATTTAATTCTATCACATTCACTTAATTCAAGGCAATACTAGAAACCTCTTTCAAAGACAGATATGCCTAAGCAAACTTTGGCAAGCAAATACCATCTGGTTTCGCAGAATGTGCTTAAAAAATGAGGAATACTCTGTTCTTTCTGCCAATTGTATAATACTCGACACCATACATGCGATGCAGTGAAGAAGTTTACAAGCTTTTGATTTTTTTTGCATGTAGAGACAGTTTTATTAAAATCAGCAACGTCTTTTGCAATCAAATTAAATGAATGCAGACAACACCTGATGGGAATAATGTTTGGATATTCATTCTATAAAAAGAAAAGTATATATAAGCTTTTAAATATTTTTAAAATCGCTCAAATAAATTAAGCGTAAGCACAGACATACAAATAAGATAAATTGGAATCACAGTAATAAAACATAGCTTTATTTTTTATTTTTTATTTATTTTATTTGATTTTATTTTATTTTTTTATTTATTTATTTTTTTTTTTTACTATTTATATATATTCCTAAAAAAAAAACTCATGTACTTTCAACAATCTTTTCATTGTTTTTATAACAAAAGGGTTATCTGTAACGCAGGCGATGGCAGATAACATTTTAAACCCATTTTGAGTGAGTATTTCTTTAGTTTTGTCCTTAAGAAAAGATCCTGTATGTCAGTCTGCAGATAAGTCAGCAATGTCAATAGTATGTTCCTGATCGTCTTTAAGAACCATAGGGCTATAGATCGAGTTTCCTGAGATATCTGTCCAGCCATCTATACAAATTGTCATATTAGTAAAGGTTGGCATTTCAGTTAGCTTTTTTTGGAGATGGTTAGAGAACGCTTCTGTTAATATGTGTTCTCGAAGCATATCTCCAGAGGGAGGTTGATAAGTGGGTGCTAATTCTTGAAAAAAATATTGAAAGTAAGGGTTTTCGGCAATATTGAAAGAGAGGTTTCTGTAAATAATAGCATTTAAGAGCTTTCGATGAAGTTTTTCGGACTGAGAGCGAGAAATAGACCTTGCACACCAATTCAGGATATTTACTTGTCTAGCAGGGCTTATTGTTGCTGCAGATTGTGGATTCTCTGCTGAATCATCTTCGCTTGATGTAGTTTCAGCCAACTTCTCTTGGTTAGGTCATACTTGCTTACAGGTAGAAGTCTTTGATCCATTAACTTTCACGAGGTAATTTGTTTTTTCAGTAGCTGGCTAGCTACTGCACTTAAGAACATGCAGATGAAGTCTTTCAGGCTTGCCTTCAAGCACAAGCTGACAATATGAACACTTGGTGGCATATCAATTGCCTGTCTTCTTTTGCTCTGAACGATAAAACCCATTCCATTGACAGTTCTGGTTAGGAAGAGGATGAGTAAATCCTGGTGGTGGAGTTTGCATAATTCTAGTATTATTATCTTAAGTTAGAAATAAGGTAATTAAAATGCAAAAGTATGTGAATATAGGGACAAATAATAATTTAAGGCAATAGATTTGTAATAAGTAATACGTTCACAGAGACAAGAAAGCTAAGTTAGATGAATTTTAGAAAATAAATATATAAAATTAATTTGTCTATTAACTTTTAGATTTATTTATAGAGAATTTAATCCCAGAAAAACTTTTGAAGGTCAAAAAACGAAGGTTTAAATACATTTGATTTCCCGCAGATGCACTTTTTTATTTCTTGATACATTACGTATATCAATAGATAACAATATAATTTAAATTACACCATCCCCTCTATGACAGATAAATATATTGGATAAACCTCTTTTTTCATACTCCTGATATATTTTAAGTTTCAATTGATAATGATTTGATTAATAAGCATATTTAAATAAAAATTCCTTTTTTATATTAGATCATGCCATCTCTCTCTTTAATGACAAACTCGAACTTTTATTATATAAACTTTTCTGCATTATAACATGCCCAAATCAACTCTGATATAATATAGTAGCTTTCAGTATAATTAATGCATAAAAAATGTGAAGTATTTCTTTTAATAAAGTGAAAAACTCTGGTTCACTATATAGTAGTATAGTAATAATAATTTTCTTTCACAATTTACTTTATTCTAACCTTTGGCCCAACAGGGCACTGCAAAAAATAAGTACAATACTACATTTTTTATATTATCACATCTTCTATTTTATGACTAATTGTTTTACTTCATTCATAGGTTTTTCTAACTAATTTCCACTATCCGATTGTCTACATTCTTGACATTCTGAAACCTTATTATCGTACTATCCACACCCGATTTGGTATTTGATTTGGAGGAAGATGCATGCATGCATCTAATCGGGTTTTAGAATATGATTATCGATCAAAGCATAGTCGATCATGTTGTAGTTTATTTTTATCCAAGGCAATACACATATTACAAATATATCGATTATTTGTTTAAAAAACTTCAAACATTAAAAAATAAAGGAGAAATTACAAATAAGGACCCAAATTTAAAAATAATTACAGATAAGGGCCCAAAATAAAAATAATTACAGATAGAGGCCCGATATTTGAAAATTATTAAAATAATAGCCCAAATTTGAAAAAACTGATTTATATAATCTTGTGATTAAATAGATGTTTGATATCATTTTTTTTGAAAATAATTAATTAAATAAAATAATTGCAAATTTATTATAATATAACTATACAAACTGATCCCCCAATTTTGTAAACAAAACAAAAAATTTGAAAACTTCATAGTATAGTCTTCGTTAAAGCAATATTAGATTTAACTGTGTTAAGTTTAATACTGTTGGAAAAACAAAAGCCACAAGTAGCTGACAACGGTCTGGTTACTAATTAATAATTAGTAGCTCTAGTAAAGAGCAAACAAAGTTTTTCTTTGTTATTCTCGACCAGTACATACTGATCAACAGGGGCCTACCCCCAAACATAACTGCCCTGTTCTTCTTAAGGTACCAAAGATATTAAATTATCTAGGAGGCTATAGAATTTGTCTTCCCTTTAAAATTTTATTATAAACAAGATTTTAGTTCTCTAGTAATAAACTTCTTATTTCTATACATTAATTTTTACAAAATTTCTTTAAAAAATTTTTTTGGGGAATCAGTATTGACCCTGAAAATTGGAGATCAAACACGTGACTATCTGTCAACAACAAACAACGACAAAACAAGGGGTCGTCTAAAGCTGTGTCCATCACATGACCTAAAGCCAATAGAATTGTTTATTTTGATCGACACGGATCAGCCCGAAGAGACAAAAAACAGTGGAAAAAAGTGAAAAGCATAAAAAATACAAGAAACGATAGTCTAAACCCATCTTGGTGCATTAATAAAAAATGTCAGGAAAATAATTTTACTATAAAACATGACTGACCCTAACCCCAAACTAACCCTTACCCTAACTTTAATTAAAAAACAAAAATCACGTGACTGGACACAGCTTTAGACGTCCCCCAAAACAAGCAAGACGCATTCCCTTTTTAGAAATCAACATTATTATAGCAGTAAACAACAAACACGTAGTCTAAGTAAACAACAAATCAAGAAAACTGTGAACGTGTAAAGTAAACAAACATAAATCAAGAATATACACGTGTAAAATTAAACAAATATATATCAAAAAGGAGAAACTTCTAGAAACAAATAGAACTTAATAAAGAAATACCGGTTACTGGTGGGCTTCTTAAATTTATACGTGAGACAGCAGGTAAAATACTTAAATATCTAAACAATAGTGAGTTGTTAGATATTCTACGTACAGCAAATCCCACAGAACCAGACAATATAGAGCAATTGGCAAAAGACCTTGCAATCAGCAATCCAGAGGGAATTACAATATTCGACATGCTTTTATACGGTCAAATACGTGATGCGCTCAAGAAAGCAGAAAAGCTCCTGCAACAAGATACCATTAAGCAATGGGCAGTACAAGCGAAAATAGCAAGTAATAACCCATCATCAATAAATTATATGGTAAATATGAGCGAAGAGGAAATTAAAAAGGAGGAAAGCAAGATAGAAGGACTTGAGAAAAAAGGTCCAGTTGAAAAGCTTCAGTTTTCAGAACCAAAGAAAAGAAGATCATCAAAAGATGAAGAAGAAACAAACAAAGACATAGACCAGGTGGCTGGACAACTTCAAGATCTAAGTATCAAACCAAATCATCAAGAAACAACTGATTGCTATACAATCGAAGAAATAAATAGTATGTTAGGAGATAATTTCATGCATCTCTCAACAAATAATCAGTATACTGAAGATATAAAGACTACATCAAGAGATCAAAATGCAGAAGGTTCAACATCAAGAGGAAAGAAGATTAAAAAGGACAAAGAAGCTCTAGTAGACAGCATCTTAAGGGATGTAATCAAGACACAACAAGTAGAGCTTGAATGTAACAACTCAATGATTGCTAATAGACA